ACAACAGGGCACGAAAATACTAAGGTATCTCCTGTATTCCAGACATATCCTTCCTTACCCTCATTGTGAAGCAGCAGTCCAATTTCCCCTTGGTAGTCAGGATCAATCAGCCAGTCAACACAGTAACTCCCTTCTTTGCCCATTGATTCAGATGCATGACAGGCCCAAAGTGGCCTGTTGGCAGTCTTAACTTCCAGTTCAATGGAATTATTGTTCTATTCTCAGGGTGAAAACATTCTTCCCTTTGGAACTAAGGCTTCCAGGCCAGCAGAGCATAGGTCACAGGAATAGGAAGCAAAAATTTTGCTAGTGGGTCACTAGGGGTAATAGTGAGAGGCCATTCTCATTTTCACCACTTGATTCCTGGACCATGAATTCTAGTTATTGGAGAGACAGGACCGTATTTATCAAATTTACACAGATTTTCTTGTTATGTTAGGAAATAGATTCAGTGATCAAAATTTGGCCACTACTAATGTATAAATACTGAGGTACATATATTCACATATATTTATATACACTATATTTTTTATTGAGAAAATATTAAATATGTTTTGATATAAACTCCAAGTTCGAGTAAGATTCATCCTTAGAAATATACAGTTATAAGCAGTCTGTCGGGTAAATCTAATCATACTTCATTTTGTTAAAAATATCTCCTAATGAAGAAACTATAAAACACTCCATTTGGGAATGGGAAATCTGGAAATGAGATTGGCCACTAGAGTGTACAGGTAAGACTCTTTACAAGGTGTCATGAAGGGACAATATGACTTACATTTTCCATGTATTTAGGTCATTCTAGCCAGGCATGCAAAGTTTATGGGCATTGCCAGGATCTCAGAATTTTTGCAGTTGGGGAGCTTAGTTGCTGAGTCTTTTCTGGAGAGTATAATCTACCCAAGAGAAAAGATCTAAAACATTGATGTTTTCAAAACTGTATTTTGGGTGACTGTTCTGTGCATTGTATGACATTTAGCAATATTTCTGGTCTATCTACTAGATAACATAGTACCCCTCCCTCAGTTATCATAACCAAAAATGTTTCCAGACATTGCCAATGTTACGGGACTCATAAAATTGTTCCACTAGAGGCCACTGGTCTCATGATGCGACCCAGTCAAAAATCTCTATTGGTGAGCATATGTTCCCATTCAGCTTTGTAGTACTTTTTGAATATAAGCAGACAACTAAAGTTCACCAGAATATAAGGAAAAATAAGGGAAAAAAGCAACATGGAGGAAACGTGCTATGAGAAAGAATATGTAGCAACTTTAAAGAATATGTAGCATCTTAAAACAAGAACTCATGGAAATTATAATTATGGTAGCAGAAATGAAAAACACTATAGAAACACTGGAGAATACACTCTCTAGAAAGAAGGATAAAAAGATAAAGAGATGGAAAAATAGGAGAGGATTTAGAAGATGAGAGAATTAAGTCTCGGAGGACTGTGTGAGGAGGCAGCTTTAATGAATAAAAAGACTCCAAAATATAGAGTTTTTTTTTTTTAAAGATTTATTTATTTTTATACAAGAGCTGGGGTATAGGCCAGAGGTGCGGGAGGGTGAGAGGATCCACCAGAGATAGAGCAGGGAGCAGAACAGGCAGACAACTGAAATACACTGCTGAGGGGAGCAGCAGATGCCACAGGAGAGGTCTGCCATGCCATGTGGGATCCTTGCCAGCTGGCCAGGATCAAACCTGCACTGCAGAGGCTGCGGACAGCTTCACGGTGCCATGCTCAACCCGCTGCGCCACCGGGGAGGCCCCAAGATGTAGAGGTTTAAATTGCATGGAAGTTTATTTCTCTGTGGCCAAAGTAAGACCTTCCATGAAATCTTTATATGGCATGAACCCACACATGAAGCACAATGGAAGTAAGGTCCTCAAGGGATAGCCAAGTTTGTTTTTTTTTAAAAAAGATTTATTTATTTCAGTGTAGAAGAACTGGGGTGCAGGCCAGAGGTGTGGGGGGATGGTGAAAGGATTCACCAGAGACAGAGTGGGGAGCTGAACAGGCAGATTGACCGAAATACACTGCTGAGGGGAGCAGCGGGCAAGACAGGAGAGGTCTGCTGCGCCATGTGGGTAGCTCCCTGTCAGGGATTGAACTCTTGCTGCACTGGCTGCGGACAGTTTCATTGTGCTGCGTCTCAACCCCTTGCACCACCAGGGTGGCCCTGATAGCCAGGTTTTGATCCAGGTTAAACTTGTGCTGCCTCTTTTTAGTGGAGAATGATATTTAGAAGCCAAGATTTGGGCATGATGTGTGCTCATTACTTTTGGGGTCTCTTTGCGACTAGGTCTTCTTGGTAGGTAGCCAGTGAAAACACCATAAGTGTGTGCATGTATGTATGTAAATATATACACACGTATCTATATTTCTATATATATCAAGTCTATATTAAGTCATTGATATCCCTAATTTTCATTCAATTCTACCATTTGTTCTACTTTTCATATTTATAACTCCCTTCTCTGACAGTGAGAAACCAGACTCCCATTACCCTTAATATATTTACTTACTTAATCAATTCGTCTGAATGCAAGCAAATTCTCAGTCACTGCCCTTTGCCGTTTATGGAAACACTTCTTATCCCACTCAGGATCTAATGGGGTAATGCCTGGCACCCTTGCCACCTTAAATGTACTCATTTTACTTATGCTCTGACAACCCCCCTCTCAGCCCCTGTCACTCCCACCCCACCAGGAATAGGTATCTACTTTACCTGACCTAACAGTTTTAGGGCTAAATTGTTCCAAGAAGGGAAAGGGAAGTTTACCATGCCCCTTTAACACAGTCTTATACTATTGTAAACAGTATTGCAATGAATAATTGTGTCTACACAAAATTAGTATATGTTTAAGATGAATTCGTATAAGTGGACCGTGAATCAGAGAGTATGTGCCTCTGTAATGTTGCTGATTCTGCCACCTTACAAAAGTTACATTACTTTCCACAGAGGCTTGACAATTTACACACCATGGTGCCTAAAAAAACTCTTAACACTGGTAATTCTAATACATAGAAAGGCCTCAAAGTTACCTGGTGATATTTGAGAAAATTAAGACTGATGTTTTTTTCTTTTTTTTTAGAAATACATTTGTTGTCACACAAATGAAATTTTCAATATCATAGTTTCTTGGTAAACAAAAATGAAATAAAATTGAGCCACCAGAAGCAAATTTAGGAACACAAAATAATAACCAAACTCATAGAATAAAAAGTAACTCCAAGAACCCTCTGAAACATAAACTGGGTTCATAAACTAGTAGCTCTTCCATTTGCAAGGCAAAAATGGAAACAGAATGACACAAAACAACCAGGAAATAATTTTTCTACCAAATGTATTACTCAGATACTTGTCAGCAAACTGTTTTCCAGATCACGAGCTTAATTCTCTCTACACTCCTGCAGTGGTAGTAAGACTCTTGTCAGTGTCCTCACTGCCTTGGGCATGTTAGAACCTGGAGGGAGTTTGAAGTTGAGCCCATCATTTTTCTGGTTTTTGCACTGAACACGGTGCATCTCGGGAACCTATTCGGCCCCAAGCAAACCTGGACGCTCGTCACCCATGGACCAGGGTACAGAGAACTCACACAATCGCTACCAATGCAGCACCTATAGCACCTATAGCAAATTGGGTTTCCCCCATTTACATTTTATGTAAATGAAACGAAAATTCTAGTTCCTGTGTCGCAGTAGCCACTTTACCAATGCTCAACAGGCATAGTGGCTAGTGGCTACCCTATTAGGGCAGACACAGAATCTCTCCTCCATCAAAGAAAATCTTTCCGACAGCGCTGATGTAGACAGTTCAGCAGAATTTTTTGAAGTTTGGAAGCCACCAGACTCCATTATCAAAAAACTCAACAAACTCTTTGCAAATAGGAAGGAGGGAATTTTTTTTAAAAAAGATTTGTTTATTTGGGCCTCCCGGGTGGCGCAGCTGTTGAGCACCAGGTTGCGAAGCTGCCCGCGGCCTCTGCGGCGCCAGTTCACTCCCCTGCTGCTCCCCGGCCACCGGAGGAGGGTCCCACATGGCGCGCAGACCTCTCCTGCCACCCGCTGCTCCCCTCAGCAGTGTACTTCGGTCCTTCTGCCTGCTCTGCTCCCCACTCTGGCTCTGGTGAATTCTCTCACCCTCCCGCGCTTCTGACTGTACCCAGTGCTTGTATAAATAAAATAAATAAAATCTTTAAAAAAAAAAAAGATTTGTTTATTTATAGAGCTGGGGTACATAGCAGAGAGGGGGGGAGGAGAGGTGGGGGGAAGGGGAGGGGGTGACCGCCTCACCAGAGACAGAGTGGGGAGCAGAACAGGCAGATCTACTGAAACACACTGCTGAGGGGAGCAGCGGACGAGACAGGAGAGGTCTGCCGCGCCATGTGGGTATCTCCCTGGCTGGCCGGGGATAGAACCCTCCCTGCAGAGGCTGTGGATGGCTTCACAGTGCTGTGCTTAACCCCTTGCCCCACCAGGAGGCTCAGGAAGGGGGAAAATTCATGGTAAGAAACACCAAGTAAAAAACCTGCCCCTGCCAGCAGATTTTCTCTGAAAATTACTCGTAATTCCCACGCCCGTCTTTCCGCAGAGTGAAGAGTGCGCCAACTCGAGGACACGTGGAATTCCCAAAGCGGGGGGAAATCGAGGGCCAAGACCCCCGAGGTTCGACTGCTAACAGTGGTGGGCGTCTGTACGGGCCGGGAGGGCGAGCCTCGGCTTGGCCCAGGGCAGCACAAGCCCCGGGTCTCGCGCGCCCCTCGCGCCGCATGGGACGCCGACGGGGAGCGCGCAGCCGCGGGAGTGTGCGCGCAGCCGCGGGAGAGTGCGCGCTCCCGCAGACGAGCGGGCCCGCGGGGCGGCTCCCGGCTCCCGGCAGCCAATGGGGCGGGGCGCCGCGCGCCGGGGGCGGGGCCGTGACGCGCGCCCCTCGTGACTGCGCTCGCGGCCTGCGCCCGCGGAAGCCGGAAGCGGCGGCTGTCGGCGGCACTGGCTGGGGGTGGAGAGGCGGCGGTGAGCGTTCCGGGGTGGGTGAATCCCGCCATGGATCCTGACGCCGCAGTCGCGCGGCGCAGGTGGTGGCTCCTGCCGCGAGTGCTGCTGGTGCCGCTGCTGTGGTGGGGGCCGGCTCTGGGCGCGCTCTCCTCGGGCGGCAGCCCCCACAGGGTCCTCCGCGACCTCCTGGCGGAGCCCCAGTTGGTGGAGGTGGAAGACTTGTCCCTCACTCTGCTGCAGGGCGGAAGACTGGGGCCCCTGTCGCTGCCCTCGGACCTGACGGAGCTGGATCCTGAGTGCCAAGCGTTGCTGCTGGACTTCGCCAACAGCAGCGTAGAGCTGACCGGCTGTCTGGTGCGCCACGCCCGGCCGGTGCGCCTCTGTCAGAAGTGCTACACCCCCTTTCAGCAGGTCGCCAGCAAGATGGACAGCATCAGCCGAGCCGTGGGGGTGGGTAGAGGAGCACCCCGGGACCTCTGACATGGAGGGCTGGGAAAGGAGGAAGTTGTAATGATGATTCGCCCTGAGGGGCTCTTCGTTTCCCCTCTGTAAGCAAAAGGGTTTAGATTGGGTCTTTGGAGTCTGGGCCATCAGGAAAGTGGGCGGCCTGTTAGGGTTTGGGTTTGTATTTTTTTTTTTAAAGATTGATTTATTTACACCAGAACTGGGGTACAGGCCAGAAGCGCGGGAAGGTGAGAGAATTCACCAGACAGAGTGGGGAACAGAACAGGCAGACAACCAAAAACACTGCTGAGGGGAGCAGGGGGCGAGACAGGAGAGGTCTGCTCGCCTTGTGGGTTATCTCCCTGGCCAACCGGGAATCGAACCCACTCTGCAGAGGCTCCAGACAGCTTCACAGTCCTGCGCTCAACCCCCTGCGGCACCAGGGAGGCCCTGAGTTTGTGTGTTTTCCTTTGTGGCTGCTGATGGGCATCCTCCTAGAGCATACTTGCCTATAAAGTATGACTAGTTTTCTTGGGGCTCTTGCACCTTTACTCCCTCCCCCAATTCTGCCACAATTACTTCCCATGTCTACCTGGACTTCCCAGGAAGGACACTTTCCTGAGCCCCAGCGTGTAGTGTGGCTGTGCTTAGGAGCTTGTGCTTTGTAGCAGAACGTTTCAGAGCCACCACTTTTTAGCAGTGTGATTATTAGAGTCTCAGTTTCCATTTCTGTAAAATGGAAACAACTCCGTGATGTGACTGTTAAAAGGATCAAAAGAGATAATATGTGGAAGTCCATGTTAGTGACCAGGACACTGGGCCCAGCCTCCCAGGAGTCCAGTTCTATTCTGCTTATTAGCAATATACTCTGGGCAGGTTACCTACATCCTCTGTGCCTGTTTGCTCATCTGTAATATGGGAATAGCAGAGCTCTTTGAAAACTGGCACATACAATAATAATAGTTCCCAGTAAATGGGAGCCTAATTGGAAAGGGTCAATCTGCCCTACATTTGTGGTATCCTGAGAGCTTTTCTGGTTGTGTGGTAGGTGCTGTGAGGGATTTAATTAAAAAAAGGCAAAAAACACAGAAGACACCTTCCTGCCACTAAGAACTGTATAGGATCTATAATAGGAAAGAATTAGGGAGTCACAAGGTATGATTGGGGATATACGTGGTCAAGGAAAAACAAGGAATGAGATTGGTGTTGGATGAGTTGTCCTTGTATTGAGAGGATTAGTGTGGAATTAGTTTACAAATCACAAATGATTTGATAAAATATAACTTGTGTCTAGTTGCATCCTGCTTTAAGTCAGCCTGATATTTACTTAACATCTATTTTTTATGCATAAGTGGGGATTTATTTGCATTAAATAATACCTGTGGTCAATCTTTTCTGTAAAGAATTAGTTTTCAAGGTAGTTTAAGTAAATTTGGGCTTTCTGTACTATTTTCCAGGCATACTTCTCTTGGGTATAGCAAGGAGGAGGTATGTCATTTTATTTTCAAAGATTTATTTTATTTGTTTATGTATACAAGAACTGGGATGTAGGCCAGAGGTAATGGGTGTGTGTGTGAGAGGATTCACCAGAGACAGAGTGGGGAACAGAAGTCAGATCTACTGAAATCCACTGCCGAGGGAAGCAGTGAACAAGATAGGAGAGGTGTGCTGTGCCATGTGGGTTAGCTCCCTGGCTGTGGATGGAACTCATGTTGCTTTGGCTGGTGGTAGCTTGCTAGCTCTGTCTTTAACCCCTGTGCCACTAGGGAGGCCTGATATGTCACTATTTTAAAATAAAACACCCAAGATTTGTCCCAGTCAACTCAAGTAGGGAATGATGTGGTATCATACTGTTTTGAACAATTAGGTCAGTTGTTTGTGGCCAGAATGGCTGAGAATTGTGATGCAAAGTTTGGATTTTTTGAGGCAGTAAGTGCTTTCCTTGTTTATGTAGCGGCCATGGAATTAAGAGGTTAAAAAATAACCCCAAACTCTAGTAGTACAGTATTATGGGTGGCACCCAATCTGGGTATGAATTTCAGCACATTCCCCACAGTCCCTGGGAGGCTTCAGTGTGTGGGTTGCAAAAACTTCCTCTCTTCCTATTCAGATTCTGAAACCAGTAATGTGGGCACTCAGCTTGCCTCACCCTTGTATGAAAGAAGGCAAGTAGAGCTAAAAAGAGGCAGAAAAATCCTTTCCCCATCTGCATTTCCTCTCCAACTAATCCTTAACCTTAGTCCTTTTCTTAGTAGAGCTGAATGTGGTTTATTAGTGCAAAAGTATGATTTCCACAGTTCTGAGGTACTTTATTGATTTGATAGGGTTTATTTTTTTAGAACTAATTGGGAATTAGACCAATAGTGAACTTGTGGAAAAATGTGTTTTGAGTTTCTTATAAGTGAACTTGAATGAATTAGTTGTCCCTTGTGTTTATGTGTGTGGGAGCGCTATTTCTCAGCAGTAAAGTATTATTATTATTTTTTTTTTTAAAGATTTATTTATTTATACAAGAACCGGGGTACAGGCCAGAGGTGCGGGAGGGTGAGAGGATCCACCAGAGACAGAGCGGGGAACAGAACAGGCAGACTGATGAAATACACTGCTGAGGGGAGCAGCGGGTGAGACAGGAGAGGTCTGCTTGCCATGTGGGACCCTTTCTGGCTGGCCGGGATCAAACCTGCGGTGCAGAGGCTGTGGGCAGCTTAACAGCCCGGTGCTCAACCGCCTGCGCCACCAGGGGAGACCCTATTATTATTATTTTATTTTTCAAAAAGATTTATTTATTTATTTTTTTTTTTTATCCAAGCACTGGGTACAGTCAGAAGCACGGGAGGGTGAGAGAATTCACCAGAGCCAGACCAGGGAGCAGAGCAGGCAGAAAGACCGAAGTACACTGCTGAGGGGAGCAGCGGGCGGCAGGAGAGGTCTGCGCGCCATGTGGGACCCTCCTCCAGTGCCGGGGAGCAGCCGGGGATTGAACCGGCACTGCAGAGGCTGCGGGCAGCTTCGCAACCCAGTGCTCAACCAACCCAGTGCTCAACTGCTGGCCACCCGGGAGGCCCCTATTATTATTTTAAAGGTTTATTTTTATTTACTTACAAGAACTGGGTATAGGCCAGAGGTCTATAAGGTGAGAGGATTCTCCAGACAGAGTGGGAACAGAACAGGGGGATTGACTGAAATACACTGTGAGGGGAACAGTGGGTGAGACAGGAGTGGGTTAGCTCCCTGGCCTGGGATCTAACTCAAACTTGTGCTGCAGTGGCTGCTGAAAGCTTCATAGTGCTGAGACTTAACCCCTTGTGCCACCAGGGGGGCCTGTATTGAGCATCTTTTCATGTAGACTTTGATATGAAAGCAGTGTGATGTTATTGAAAGATTAAATTCTGTGGAATGACATGATGGAATTTGTATTTTAAAATGCCATTATGGCTACCTGAGAGAAAATGGAGGGGACAGGCACTAGAGAAGGTAGAGGAAGAGTTGGTGTGGAGAGATGAAGTGGTCACTTAAGAAACGATGGGGACCATGGTAGTGGGAGAAATGGGTAGATCTTGGAGATATTTAGGAGTAGAAGTGACAAGACTTGATAGTTAATTGAAAGTGGGGAATAAAGGAAAAAATGATTTCCAGAGTCTTTTTGCCCCTTTGTCCTGTTCCTCCTTCCCTTTTTTCTTTCTTAAGATGGGAGGGCCTGATCAAACAAACATGCAGTGAAGAAGGATCCTTTAGAGAAGGTGAAGATACAGGAGAGAGTGAATATTCAACAAGGCCAGATTCCTGAGAAGAAAGAGTAGATGGGATCTGAGGCATCCACAGAGATGAGGCTTGGCGGTGGCAGTCACTTTCTCCACTGTACTGGAGGGTAGAAGAAGAGACTGGATGCAGAGCTGGGCAGGCCCAAGTTTCAGTTTGATGGCTTCTGTTTTCACTGTCAACTAGAAGGCTAGATTTTAGGTACAGGGTGAGATGGATCCCATGGTTCTAGGAAGAGTAGAGAAGATTGGAGATACTGGTTTTAAAGAAAGGAGAGTGAGCAAAGAAGAAAGTGAGGAGTGCAGTTTGAAATTATGAATTTATTGTGGAAATAATCTGCTTGGTGGTTTGCTTTTTGCCAGACAGGCATGATGAAAGTAGATGGTCAGGTTCGTTGTAGTTAGAATTCTGCTGACTGATTATGACAGATTGGAGTGTTAAAAGTTCTAAATATAAACAAGGGCTGTTGTTGTTTGGTCATGTGCTAGGTGTTAGGATCACAAAGATACAAAGCAGAGTTTTCATCCAAAACAAACTTCTTTGCAGCTGAGGAACCTGCTGTGCTGCAAAGTAGATAATGTGCTTTAAGAAACTGAGCTTCACAGTGAAATAAGCCAGAAGGAAAAGGGAAAATACTGGATGGTTTCACGTATAGGAGGAATATAGGGGAACCAAATAAGGGATCAGGAAAAAGAATAACAATAATAATAAGTAAAAAAACAATTAGGATGCAGCTATAAATCAGAGACATTCTGCAAGGGAGGGAGAGGTAGAAGAATCAAAACAGGGGAGGGAAGGGCACAAAGGACTATGCTGATGGTTCATGGGCGAATGGCGGTGGGAATTTTATGGGGAATACATCTGAGAGGAGAAAGTATACAAGCATACATTGCACAAAAATGAACAATGATATAAAATATATATATAAATAAATACTAAAAAAAAAAGAGAAAGAAACTGAGCTTCAGATGATTAAGTAACTTACCTAAGGCCATGTAGTGTCAGAAGCAGAGTTTGAATGCAGAAGAGTAATTATGACCATTAAGTGAGTTTCAGATATTATTTGGAATATATATTTGTAATATTAAGAACTATTAGGTATTCTGCATACATGATCATTATTGGGATTATTCATCACTTCCCTTCCATTTCCACTGTTGCCACCATCTTTTCATTATATCTGACCTATGGAAGTAGTCTAATTGGTCTCTCCACCTTCTCGCCCTACGTATTGTGACCTAGACCTGTGTTCCCCAAGCTCCACTTTTCTTATCAAAAATCTTAAAAAGTTTCCTCCTATACGGCTCGTGACCTTCAAGACACTTCATAACCTTGCCCTGATTTCTTCCTCTATTGCCTCTACTTTCATAGAGGTACCCTCTTTTCTAGCTATTGAATGGAAGCCTCATTATATTGGCCTACTGAATACGCTGAATACCACATAATTCACTCCTTGATCATTTTATTCTCCCATTTTATAATCCTCTTCCCTTCCTCAGTATAGGGGGTTGGGTTACTTTAAATCCCACTTCCTCTGTGAACTCTTTCCTAATTTCTCCAACTACACTAATGTCTTCCTCAGTTGAACGGTTTCACTCATGGAACATTCATACTGATTTTTTAAAATGCCAGCCTTATGAAGATAAAATTTAACTGATTATGCTTAACCATATATACCACTAAGGTTGGCAGTAAGGTAGCTAGTTGAAAAATCATATTTCATTACTCTGTGCCAGACATTATGCTAAGTGACTGATGTATGTTGTTTTATTTAATAGCTATAGAACTCACGATGGTAAAACTGAACCTCAGCTTACCTTAGCTGCCCAAGATTACCAAAGAGTGTCTGACTCTTTAGGCGATGTGCTATTCAAGAAGTAATAAAAGCTTTCTTACGTGATTTTTTTAGTGCTCTGAAAACAATTCCAAGAAACTGACTTTAAAAATGCTGTGTTTAATTAGTAAATTAATCGTAAGCATTCATTTGGGCACATCTTTATTTTTTAAATAAAATTTAATTAATTTACCATTGGTTTACAATTTTAGATAAATTTCAAGTATAGGGTACTTCACACCTTGATATGTGCATATACTCATCGTACCCACTATCTGAGTTTAGCACATTCACACTATCAAATTGGCCACCTCTCCCCATGATTCCTATCCCACTGCCGCTTGCCCTCTGGCAACAACCATATTTTTCCAGAGTCTAAGAGAAACTCCCTGCACATGTTTTGTTAGTTCATTTGATTTGTTTAATATATTCCACAGATGAGTGCAACCATCAGTAAATGTCTTTCATTTTCTGCCTTATTTTGCTTAACGTAATCACCTCAAGTCCATCCATATTATTGCAAAAGGCAAGATTTCATCTTTTTAAGATCAGAAACAAATATTGGTGAGGATGTGGAGAAAAAGGAGCCCTCATACATTGTTAGTGGGAATGTAGGTCCAGTCCCTATGGAAAACAATATGGAGATTTCTCAAAATATTGAAAATATACAATAGCTAGGCTTTGGAAACAAGCCAAATGCCCAAAAATAGATGACTGGATCAAGAAGATGTGGTACATATACACCATGGAATATTGCTCAGCATTCAAAAAAGATAAACACATGCAATTTGCAGCAACATGGATGGCGCTGGAAGGGATCATGCTCAGCGAAATAAGCCAGAAAGAAAAAGAAAAATACCGGATGGTCTCACTTATAGCAGGAATCTAGAAAACTTAAATAAGTGACCAGGAAAATGAATAACTATAAGAAAGTGAAAATCAAAATCAACAAAAAACTATGAACCAGAGACACTCTATGGGGGTTGAGGGGCAGGGAGGGGAGGGATTGGGGTCAAAATAAGGGTGTTGCAATTGTATGGGGAATATAAAAATAAAATTTATTAAAAAAATATTGAAAACAGCTTTACCTTATTCTATCCAAAGAATGTAAAAACACTGATTTGAAGGGATAGATGCACTCCTATGTTCACTGCAGCACTATTTATAATAGCCAACTTTTGGAAACAAATGCCCAAGGATGAGTGGATAAGGAAGATGTGGTATATTTCTACAATGAAATACTACTCAGCTATAAAAAAGATGAACTCTTGCATTTATGACAATGTGGATGGAACTGGAGGGGATAATGCTAAATAAGTCAGAAGAAGAAAGCCAAATACCAGATGGTGTTATTTATATGTGGCATGTAGAGACAAAACAAAGGGTGAGACAAAACCAAGCCAATAAAAAATCTTAGAAATATGATTGTAGCATTGAGGCTACAAGAGGGGGAGGAGAAGGAGGAAGAGTAGAGTGGGGAAGGGGATACAATGAACTATGGTAGGACACTGGGTGCCTTGATGGTGGGTGTGCTGAGATGACATATGCTTCTGAAACACATGTAATCTCAAAAGATTTCATCTTTTTAAAATAACCAGGTATATTCCGTTGACAATGCTATACCACAACTTCTTTATCCATTGATCCGTTGATGGGTATTTAAGTTGTGAATAACACTGGTATGAAATAGGGTGCATGTATCTTTTTGAATTAGTATTTTTATAATCTTTGGATAAATACTTAGTAATGGTATTCCTAGGTCATGTGATATTTCTTTTTTAAAATATTTTTTGGGATTTATTTTATTTATACAAGAGCTGGGTATAGGCCAGAGTTGCGGGAGGGTGAGAGGATTCACCAGAGACCCAGAAGGGAGCAGAACAGGCAGAAGGACTGAAGTACACTGCTGATGGGAGCAGCGGGCGAGACAGGAGAGGTCTGCCTCACCATGAGGGATTTTCCCTGAACCAGCGCTGCAGAGGCTGCGGACAGCTTCACAGCACTGTGCTCAACCCTCTGTGGCACCGGGGAGGCCCCACATGTGATACTTCTATTGTTGGTTTTTAAAGTAATCTCCTTACCATTTTCCATAGAGGCTGCAGATTTGGGTGCATCTTTTAGTCTAACGCTCTCCCAACTGAGCTATTTCGGCTGCATTGGGTGCATCTTTTAATAAGATGACAAAATAAGCCACCCTGAGGGCAACCACCCCAAAATGAACATAGAGCTATTTTAAAGCATGAATTCTGTAATTGATTTCCTTTCCTCTTTTTCTACTGTATGTGACTGATCAGTTCTTCCCCGGAGTTATCACTCTCCTCTCTTTTCTTACCCATCACAATGTTTAATTCCCTATCTGTCTGTGGGCTATTCTAAAAGTCCCAGTGTTTATGGTATTTCTTACACAAATTTTTATATTTTATGGTATTTCTTACACAAATTTTTATACTTCAAAACTCCAGGATTCCTTTAATGCTTAATAAGTAATAGGAGTTAAATAACTTTGAAAGAATGAAGTGTCTGCAGGACATAGTTCCTTGCTTGGGGCACAAGAGAACGGAAATAAATAAGGATCAAATAATTCAGAACCTTGGAATTATTATTTGCATAGTGTGTTTCATTATTAAAATGACCTGTGGAAAGCACATTTCCTTTATCAGGATACAGACTGGATCTGTCACATTTTTCTGTAGACTTTAAGACTTTAAACCAAAAATTTCCCAGAAGATGAAACTAAATGTTTTGTGATCATTTACTCACCAGACTACAAATTATGTAGGTATTATATATGGTAGAGAAATTTATTTGGAAGGCAGAAAAGTAAATGAAAAATCAATGTATTTCCATTAGAGATAGCCAATATTACATTGTGGTGAATAGCTTTTCCAGAATTTTTCCTGATAAGAAGTAAGAAATATGACATGCATGCAATTTGGGTCTAAGAACTGAGGCTGTACTATAGAAACAAGTATTTACAAAACAAAGATTTTCTTCTTTGCAAGTGAACCTTGTATCAATATGTTAGCTGCTATTGTTTTGTTACCATTGTTAATAATGATACTATATGATCATATCAAAACCCAACATTTAAATGTTTATAGTAAATATTTTAATTCTTCTTATAATCTTATTTTTTTTCTTTTGCCTCAAATTGTTTGGAAAGTCTAAAAATACTTAGAATGTATTTTTCTATCTCTTTTGTTACAGAATGCTTCAGAGAGTAGTAACTGTGCCAAAAGTCTCTTAATGGAAGACAGAGTGCAAATAGTTGTGATTCTGTCTGAATTTTTTAATTCCACATGGGAGAAGGCAAATTGTGCAAGTAAGTAATTGTGCAAGCAAGTAAGTAATGCTGTAGTTATGGTTCAGTAGTATAGATGTCAGGTTTTATTTTCATGAATATTGAAATCTTTGAATCTGGATAATACTTTTTATTACTAAATTTACCTTCACTGTTTATTGATGGGAACTACTTAGGCAAATACTGAAAGGCAGAAAAGTATAGCAGTTAACAGCATGAGCTTTGCAATTAAGACAGATTTGTGTTTGATTCTGAGTGCTGCCACTTACTAGTCCTAACCTACTATTGTCAACTTTTGGGTGCATAACTTTGCCTCTTGGTACTTCACTTTCTTCATCTATAAAGAGGTGGTAATAACGGATCTATCATATATGATGGTACTTTACCATAGCATGTACCATAGCCTTTATTTTCTAGAAATCCATTGGAAAAGAAAGAGAAGGATCAGTAAAGAAGTTACCACAATAGTTTAAGCAAGAAGCAAAGAAAACATAAAGTAGGGCAGGGACCATGGAAATAGACAGGATGGATTAAAAAAATCCGTAGGCCATGAAGTAACTTTTCTAAGGATTTATGTTTTTGTTTAGTTCATATGTAGAAAAACTTTTATTGGGAAAAAGACCTCCTGCAAGGGATATCTTATGCCCTCATGCTGCTATTTTATTTTGGATTTTTGATGAGTAGTATCCAGTATGAAGTATGGTGACAATTATTAGCCCATGTATTTTTTCTTACATACTGAGAACAACCTAGATCTGTAGTTATCTGGGTGATAATTTATAAGTATAATGATTCTACTGATCCACTGTGTTATCCTAATATACTTCCTGATCCATCAAAGAAAAATTAACTTTCAGCTAGTACATATAATTTATGTTGAGAAGGAAAGATCCTCTATTCTCCTGCATTCACTAGAGGGGTGTATGAAATAAATTAACAGCAGATTGATTAACAAGAGAAAAAGGCATCCAAATGCATTGATTTTTTTTCCCCCTAAAGATTTATTTATTTATTTATTTATTTATTTATTTATTTATACAAGCACTGGGTACAGTCAGAACTGCGGGAGGGTGAGAAAATTCACCAGAGCCAGAGCGGGGAGCAGAGCAGGCAGATGGACGGAAGTACACTGCTGAGGGGAGCAGCGGGCGGCGGGAGAGGTCTGCGTGCTATGTGGGACCCTACTCCGGTGGCCAGGGAGCAGCTGGGGATTGAACCGGCGCTTCAGAGGCCGCAGGCAGCCTTGCAACACAGGGCTCAACTGCTGCGCCACCGGGGAGGCCCCCAAATGCATTGATTTTTTAATGTTACATGCCTCTGAGCATCCCTGGGGAAAAAGTAAACCACCAAAAATAAAAGTAAGATTTGAGAACTTAATAGGAGAAGGGGAAGACCATTTAAGGGAGAGGGAATGGTTTTTAAGAAAAATGAATAGACCATTAGAAGAAGAGATGGGAGATATGATAGTTTGTGACCAAATTTGTCTGGGTATTGCATCTATTTCTAGTCTCTCCTATGATGAGTCAGTCTAGTCAGTCTTCCCTGATTGATGAAACTCCCAGGGGAAGAATTTATGACCATTGAGTTTCTTCTGGTGGATATGCCTTCAGGCAAATAAAGAGAATTCAGAGAAAGCCTGTCTTTGCACTTACCCTTTTTCAAGTACTTTCAGCTCAAAAAATCCTTATTTGCAAAGAGGCATATTTTAGAAAGGTATATTCTGTTACCCTTCACTTATTGTGTCTTGATTCTTTAAAAATCAGTAATAAAATGTAATGGTTAACCAGGTCAATTAACCACTCTTTCCATATTTAATCTGCATGTTAATGTACTAAGCATTCATTAGATTCGCTTATTTGTGTCTTATTTAAAAAGTCTTATTAGTTTTCATATTTATTTAGCTTAATTATGTTATTCAGGTACAAAGTTCCAGCAGTTTATGTGATATTTTCTGAAGCATGCCCTATTTTTCAGAAACTGGTGATTGTTTCTGTTGTTTTCTATAAAACCAGTTTTGGAAAACATAAATCTTTATACAAACTTCTAATGGATGCCAAATACTTTATCTAAAAATGCATAATTCCTGTTATGATAATTTAGTAGATTTCTGTGTAAGGTCTTAACTTGAATCCTTAACACCTTTAAAAATGCCTCTTGAGCTGATGTCTGTGCCCTCATTGAGAAAGAAGCCATGCTAATCTGTCCTTGATGAGGCTGCATTGATTATGTGAAATGAGGAAAATTCATAATGACCACTTCACTTAGTGCTTATAGAAGCTTTATTATTACTAATATTCCTTAACTTACTAATTTCTAAAATACATAGCTTCTCGCTGCTTATAACCTTATGCTCTCAATTTTTGCAAAAGGATAAAAGAGGAATTTTACTAGTGTTTCTTTGTTTTAAATCAGAAAGTCAGGGCTCTTTAATAATGAAGACATTTTTAACCCATTATATAAATGAACTCCTTTGTGCTTTGTAATATCAGTGTCTAATAATTATTTTAAAAATTTGATGATAGTGCATTAATGTAGTACTTAACAAGATGACCAGCCTATATTAGCTTTTAGTTTAATTTTTAAGTTATCTGAAATGAAAAAGAATGTCGGTAAAATAGAAGTGATTAAGTCCTTTTGTTGGAGAGGCTTCCTTTATAAATTACTTTTTTCTTTTTTGTTCTTTTTGTCTAATTTTCTACTACTTCTATAAATTACCTTTTTATAAAGAAATATTTCAGCTGCATATACTGTATAGACAAAATTACCATTGCTTTCATATTCTTTTTTTTTTTTAAGATTTATTTTATTTATTCATGCATACAAGAGCTGATATGTAGGCCAGAGGTGTGAGGGTAGGGGCAGTTAAGAGGATTCACCAGAGACAGAGTGGGGAGCAGAACTGACGTAATGACTGAAATACACTGCTGAGGGGAACAGTGGGAGAGACAGAAGAGGTCTGCTGTGCCATGTGGGTAGCTCCCTGGCCGGGGATCGAACTCGTGCTGCCCTGGCTGCTGATAGCTTCATAATGCTGAGACCTTTTGCGTCACCAGGGAGGCCCCTGCTCTCATGTTCTTGTACTTGATATTACCTTTATATGTAACATAAGAACACGCACAGATTTATTTCTGTATTGCATGTGTTAGTTGCCTTGACATGACTCATTATAACATGGATGTATAATTGGTATGCTGTATAAAATTGTATTCTCTACTTTACTGAAAAATGTCTTACAGAAACTAGAACCTTATCAATCTAGTTAGTCCAATATACTAATATTCTACATATTTGTAATTGTTTTTCTTTTTATTTATATCTACTCTGACTTATGCATAAAAGGATTCAAGGCTACTTTGTGATGGTGTCAAACCAGGATTAAGAGGAGTTTATGTTAGGGCCTCCCTGGAGGCCTGGAGAATAGCACTATGGAGCTATAAGCAGCCACTGCAGCACTAGTTTGATTCCCAGCCAGGGAGCTGACCCACATGGCGCAGCAGACCTTTTTTGTCTCCCTGGCTGCTCTCGTCAGCAGTGTATTTCAGTAGATCCTCATGTTTTCTCCATTCTGTCTCTGGTGAATCCTCTCTCTCCCCTCACCTCTGGCGTACACCCCAGCTCTTGTATGCATAAATAGATAAAATAAATCCAAAAAAGAAAAAAAAAGAGGAGCCTATGTTATTTTTTTTTAAAAAGAATTTAGTATGTGAATTTTTCAAAAACTGACAGTAACATTTTCAAATAACAAAGAAAAAATAGTATAATTAAGAGAATACTTAATTAGAAGTCTGGAAAGTGTATTTTATATTTCAGTGCCTAACTTGATGTTTGATCCTTTATATATTACTTTATTTCTGTTTTCTAATTTGTAAAGTGCTCCCTTAGATTTTTTTTTTTTTTTTTTTTGTGGGACCCTCGCCAGCGACTGGGGAACGAACGGGTGCTGCAGAGGCTGCGGGCAGCCTCGCAACCCAGTGCTCAACCACTGCACCACCAGGGGAGGCCTGCTCCCTTAGATTTTTAAATGGTAGGATGAATAGTCACAGTGGGACTCACATTCTTGAGAAGACAAAGCTGCAGGGAATGTAGAGTGCCTGAGCTCTAAGGGGTAAAAAGCCTGTAGAACAGATGTATCAGCTGAGCCGGGTATAAACTAGCCCTTGAGATAGAGAACCTGTGCAAGGGGATGAATGGGGTGGAGGCAGTTTCTGGAGGTAGGAGTGCCTTTTTGTAATTAACCCAGCCAAAGAGGGTGCCTTTCTCTAGTTTTTAGGAAGGAGTCTTAATGTGCTAATTGTTGCCCTATTCATCAGATTTGTGTTTCAACGTCAGTTGCCAATATTGATCAGTTGGTGGTGACTGCCTGAATCCGTGCATATTTCTGGGTAGTGGAGGAGTTGTTGATTCTGAATGTTGACATTTGATGGTTTAGAATATAGATCTGAATGTTTTATATTCAGTGTTTGAGAGTACAGGCTCAGAAATCAGACTGAGCAGAAATTCAGGTTCTCTTCAATTTTGTGATTTTGGCAACCTCCTTCATTTCTCTAAGCCTCTATTCCTGATTATAAAGTGGAGATAACAATAGTTCTTGCCTCATAGGAACATAGTAAACATAAAGTGAGTATATGTGTTGAAACTGCTGGCTTAGCATTTGGAAGATAGCAAGTAAGCATTAACGTTAGCTTTCACTATAGGCTTTTTGTTTACCATAGTACATGCAAAAGCTCGTCCTGTGTAATATCAGCATGTATTCTGGAGGAGGAAAAAAATCTTTTCCTTCTATCCACTTTAGGTTCTCCAGCTGGGACTATAAATTAGATTAAAAAGAGAAAAACAGTTGATTAATGTGTTCATGCCCACATGGGAACACCCAGTGCAGAGACACCCAAAAGGGTGGTTAGAGTTTGTGTTTTATGTTATCTTGGGCTAATCAAAGGAAAAGGATGTTTACAAAATTCTGTGAGGCTTCTGGATGGAGGAGACACAGCTACAAGAAGGTGACCAGGAAAGGAATGGTAAGCAAGGGTGGTTTAGTAAAGATTTGTAGTGCAAAGATTACTTAAAGCCTTTTCCTTTGGTGATTATCTCCTTCCTATATAAAATTTACACACCACATTTACAAAAGGAAAACTTGGGTCCTATTTTTAGAACTTCCTGAATCAACTGGTTCTCATTTGACCTTTAGCATAAAATAATCCATATGTCAAAGAGAGATATTCTGAGGTGGCATAGCCTTATACCTTTCACTACTTATTCAGTCTATCTCTTATTCATTAAATTCTCTCTAATTGTATCACCATCTTTCTCCTGGATAATAGAGATAGCCACCTATTCTGTCTCTCTATTCATTGTTGTAATTCATTGTTGTAAATAGCGCTGAGTGGGTATAAGATACAGCTATCAGCTGAAGTTCAGGGAGACATGAGAAGAGTTGAGTGCCAGAGAATAGAAAATATTTGGAACATCTTTTGTGGAATAATTGGTAGGGTGTCTACAAGGATTGTTTTGAGATCCTGAGATCAGGATTTATATTGAATCCCTTCCTTACAACTTTAGAATGTCCTGTAATGCTGTTTTACAACCAGAATTGGCAGTAGAAAAAGCAGATGGAGACAGTTCAGGATTGGAAATTTTTGTGACCCTGCGGGAAGTAAAGAAGGCAAGGATTGTAGGAGAGTGAGATTAAAATCACTGACCACAAATTCTAGGATATGAAACCATGCACTTAAGCCAGAAGCCTGAGAGGGTAAGCTGAGAAACACAGGGAGCGGTAAAAGCAAAGTGAGGATAAAGAATAGGTTTATGAGCAGAGATCATGGAATCACATGTCATGCAGATGTGTTCTTATCACCTTCTGGCCTGAGATGTTGGCTGTAACCATGTACCACCAGATCCTCAGTCAGGCCAACTAGCATCAGAACGTTATCCCTGTCTTCATATTTATTGAAACTGATGGTGCTGAAGCAGCAGGGTTGAGTAGTCTGGCACTGTTCAATACAGATGCTTGCTAGGACAAAGGGAATAACCTAGAAATATCTTTGAAAAAAGCTTAGTGCCAATGATCAGTACAAGTTTTACTCAGTGAAATAAATTACAACAAACTAAGGAAAAAAGGTCCAGACATCAAAATGAAATGTTTTACTAGAAAGCTGCTGAGAATGAAAGTCTTCTATCACACAATTTTCCAATTAACTAGGAAACATTTTCCCTCTAAATGCACAAAATCATATTGGTGCATTGTATTTTTTGTTTGTTTGTTTAATTTTATTTTTGCATAGAAGAACTGGGGTAGAGGCCAAGGGGAGGGTGTGTGTTATGAGAGGATTCACCAGAGACAGAGTGGGGAGCAGAACAGGCAGATCTACTGAAATACACTGCTGAGGGGAGCAGCGGGCGAGACAGGAGAGGTCTGCTGTGCCATGTGGGTTAACTCCCTGGCTGGGGATTGAACTCAGGTCATAGTGATGATAGTGCTGAGACTTAACCCCTAGGCTACCAGGGAAGCCCTGTATAAAGGTTTACACGAATTAATAAATTATCTGAAACTGAAAAAAAAAAATAGCTTCATCAAAGAAGGGAAACTAGATGAATTATACTATATTCATACATAGAAAACAAAAGGATAAACTTGAGTTAATCCTTAGCAAGGGTAGCAAGTTACAGAGGAACATCATTTATGTAAGATTTTAAAAAGCTTGTAAAACAATTCTATTTCCAGATTTCTTGAAACCCTCTTTATCATTATTTTAGGCAAAATTCTCCCAAATTTGTTTCTCTGGTCTTCCAATTCATGACAAATTAGAAAGAGCAAATTAAAAATGGCTACCCTGTTTGATGCAATAAATTGCCCACTAGTGAAGATGGAAAGCACAGGATACTAAATTTGGCACCAAAAATGTTTTAAAAAGCATATGAATTTAGATAAAATTAATGTGGGATAAATAGGACTAAGATCACCCCTATTAAGGCAGCATTTGAAAAATGGTGTTCATGATTAGCATCTTGCACAATCAACTCAATTTAACTTTTTCTGGTATTTTTTTATAAAATGAGATGATATGATTATTTTAATGAAAACGGTTATGACTTAATTTTATTTTTTAAGGTAAGCGTCATGCTTTTGGAAAATTACGTTGAACACTACATGTTTATTTGAATAAAGAATTGCTTTAGGGCCTCCCTAGTGGTGCAGGGGTTAAGTCTCAGTGCTATCAAGCTACGGCCAGCCACTGTGAATGAGCTTGATCCCCAGCCAGGGAACTAACCCACATAGCACAGCAGACCTCTCCTGTCTCGCCCGCTGCTCCCCTCAGCAGTGTATTTCAGTCATTACGCCTGTTCAGCTCCCCACTCTGTCCCTGGTGAATCCTTCCCCCTCCCTCCCCTCACCTCTGGCCTATACTCCAGTTCTTGTATGTATAAATAAAGAAAATAAATCTTTAAAAAAAAAATTGCTATAATGTTAAATAGAAAATATAGCTCGAGAGATAAATAACAGATCATGTATGCTTGAGGTATATTAATATACTTTTTTTGTTTTTTGGCAGATTGTTTCGTGAACACAAGTGAAAAGCTATCAAATAGCACAGTGAATTTCTTCAATCTATTTAATCAGACCTTGACCTGCTTTGAAAATAACCTTCAGGTATTTCACATGATACTTAAAACTAAATGTTGCTTTATACAAATGAATAATAAATATTTCCAGTTGTTAGTGTATTAATAATCGATATTATCTGTACACATCAGTAGGTCTCTAATTTTGGAGCCTATAATACGATAGTGGTAACTCTATTTTATAGATAATAAATCTGCGACTCAGCGATTTCATCAACTGTCTAACTTCACAACTCAGTACTTTAACTCGCTACAATATTTTTTGTACTTTTAGGAGGGCAAAAGCTTACATTAAAGAGATGATGATGTTTATTGTGTGTATTATTTTTGCCTAGGGGAGCATACAGTTAAGAAATTATTCAGAAGTATGCAAAAACTGTGGTGACTTATACAAAGCTCTGAATGGTCTGTACAATGACATGCAAAAAAAATACAAAGAAGAGAATAAGGCTGAATACGGAATACATTTATGCATTGATGTGGAAGATGCGGTAAGTACTTGGCTTCCGAAATGATACTTCTATAGTATTATCCCCTGTACAGGTATACTGAAATCTGTAGATGCTATCTTCAGCTGAAAGTAATTAGTTATAAAGTAACAAAATTTTAGAATAGCCTGATCTGTTAAATACTTTTTAAATGGAAATTAATCAGGTACTTCATAATGAGTTAATAGTTAATATTTGGTATGTTTTGTTTTTTAATTTGATAATAGGTATCATTTTCAGAGGTTATCTTGAAATTGTTACTAATCTACATTTCAGTTTCTTGTGCACTTGTTGCTAATTCAAGAAGTCTCTTGGTTTTGCTAATGTGTTTCTGAAGCCATTCCTCAATTACTTCCTACCCCATTGCCTTATTTCTTTATATCTACTTCCATCTGAAAATTTTATTTATTTACTTATGGCCTTTCTTCACTCATTATAAATATAAGCCAAACAAAGACATTATATCTTTTTTTGTTCACTGTTCAGTACTTAGTTCCTGGCATATAGCAGAACTCTAATAAGGCTTTTTTCTTCACTGCATAGCATGTCCCTTCACATGGGGCATCACTAGATGGCGATCATGTCTTTTTAAAGGAATATGATGGCCGAATACTGAGGCATTAGAGGAAGTTGAGAAATTATCGATTAAAAGTTGAGAAATTGAAGTAAAAATTGATTAACTTCATGGTTGAGTATGATTAGTGTGAATTATCATAGCAGCTCAGAGAGAACTAGAGCAGATCAGTAGTCTTCAGGATGATAAAATGGAGGCAGCATGAGGATGTTTGTTTTTACTGCTTCATTTGTAATGTCTGGAATAGTACCTGGCTTCTAGTAGGCTCTCGATACACTAAATATATATAAAATAAAAGAATGAAGAAAATTAAATATGCTGTGAGTTAAGATGGAACACAGGAAATCCACATGATTATTTTAGAACATTCTTCTTACAGAGTGCAAAACTTAAACATACAGTACACTATTTGCAAACCATGTCTTAATTAAACAAAATCAAGGCAAGAAAGTTTTCTATATTAAATTTGGTGGTTTCCTTACATCACTCAGCTTGTTTGACTGAAATCATGAGCTCAATATAAGTGAGGTACTGCATCCTCCTAACTGTATGTTTCCATTGTATGCTGCTAAATATTAATATTGTCTAATAAAGTTTTCTGACCCATTAGATATCATGTACTTAAAAAATTATTTCCCACAAGTGTTAATCTTTCATAATATCTCAGATAAGATATTAAGCATTTCATAGATACCTCTTGAACAGATGTCCTGTAAATTGATACTTTTATTTCTGTTCTAAAAACATTGCAACAAACTCAGTGATGTTACATGTGAAAATACATAGTTTGTTTTTGTGACCTCCCCCCAATTTTACTGAAGTATAGTTGAAAACTGAAGTTGTGATATATTTAGTGTACGTTGTGAAGATTTGATGTATGCATGCATTGTAAAAATATACCCACTGTCAAATTAATGACACATACATCACCTCACAAAATTATCCTTTGAAACAATTTTTGACGAATGTAGCAGGATCTAACTATATTCCTGTTGATGTAAGTTATGTTTCAAATCTGTTAAAGGTGAATATTCTTTAAGCAGTTTTATGAATTTAGAATATGAAATTTTGGGGGTCTCCCTGGTAGGCTAGGGGTTAAAGTCTCAGCACTACCACTGTAAAGGCCCACCTGAATTCAGTCCCCAGCCAAGGAGCTAACCCACATGGCTCAGGCGACCTATCCTGTTTCGCCAGCTGCTCCCCTCAGCAGTGTATTTCAGTAGATCCTCCTGTTCTGCTCCCTACTCTGTTTCTGGTGAGTCCTCTCACCCACCTCCTATACCTCTGGCTTGTACCCCAGTTATTATATGCAAAAAATAAATAAAATCTTAATAAAAAATAAAATATGAAACTTCTATATGTATATAAGATTATGCAATGGGTAAGTGTGAACTAGTTTGTTTCCTTGGCAGAAGAAATTGCTCTCAACTATCAATGAATTCTTTTTTAGGGTTGTATATTTCATCTAAATTTTGGATGCCTCTTAAGTTATTATTATTTTTTTAAAGATTTTATTTATTTATTTATTTATGCAAGTGCTGGGTACAGTCAGAAGTGCGGGAGGGTGAGAGAATTCACCAGAGCGGGGAACAGAACAGGCAGACTGATGAAATACACTGCTGAGGGGAGCAGTGGGCGCGGCAGGAGAGGTCCGTTGCACTATGTGGGACCCTCGCCGGCAGCCAGGCGGGGATTGAACCGGTACTGCAGAGGCTGTGGGCAGCTTCACAGCCCAGCGCTCAACTGCTGTGCCACCAGGGGAGGCCCGCCTCTTAAGTTATTAACAAAATAATTTTCCTAATTTGAAGACAACTTAATTATAAAATAGTATGATATTATTTGTTATTATTCCAGATGAACATCACTCGAAAACTTTGGAGTCGAACTTTCAACTGTTCAGTTGTTTGCAGTGACACAGTGCCTGTGATTGCCGTTTCGGTGTTCATTCTCTTTCTACCTGTGGTTTTCTACCTTAGTAGCTTTCTTCATTCAGAACAGAAGAAACGCAAACTCATTCTACGTAAGTTTCCTTTTATAATTGTTCATTTATTTAGATAAAACCCCGTATTTAAAAAATTTAGGCTGTTATAAAAATGATACAGTCTCTGAGAAAATCATATTATTTTAAAACATCTCTCTGCTTCAAATTTTGCAATTATGATTACTAATGGAAAAGAAATGCGTAAGAAGTTTATAAGTACAGTTTTCAAAAATCAATACACAATGTCTTTCCAGTGCTTTACTTGAGTAAGCTAGAAACTGGAATAAGGTTGGAAATAACAGGAATAGCAACAAAGGCTTTGCAGTCCTGAAATGGTGATTGTGAGGAGAGAGAGACAGCTTGTAGGCTGACTAGAACCCTGCCAGAACCACCAAAGAATGCACAAGGCAGGGAGAAACTATAGCTTACACACAATTTGTTTACAAATTGCAGTTGTAGTTAAGTTACTTGACATAGAATATGTGCTCCATACATATTCCTTGCTTTTCTTCCCATCAAATAGGGAAGAGCAGAAAAAGCACTAATTAAAAGATCCTTTTTAGCTGAAAAAGAGTGGCTTTCTACGTCATACAAGCTTCTTGCTTATTATCAGAATGAAGAATAGATTAATTCCTTAGTAATTAATTAATTTTAAGATGGATTAATTTTAGTTTAGAGAAAATTAGGTTGTTTTACATTGGACTTTTTTTTCTGTGAAATATTTGTGTCTATGGTACAAAAATTCTTTTTCCTATAAATTTCTTGCTAGCATATCTTCTCTATCATTTATCTAATTTCAATTTTAATATATCTGACTTCTAAAAAACAGTTACTTGTAGATCAATTTGACTAGATTTATAATGTCTTGTCAACTTACAAAGCTATCTCTTAGAGGGGTGAGTCTTTATCATGAGTGTATTTACTAGAGCTTTTTGAAGAAGATGGCTAGCATTCTGTAAATATGTAATTACTCAGTTCTAAAAGCACTTATTTAGAATAATAACAAAATATCACAAGAATCTCATTATTGAGAAACTTTATTTCTCAGGGCTTGGTTCAGCATCTTATTTGCATTGCAAATCCAAACTCTGCAGAGATATTACTGCTTCTGATCAGTGTTTTTCTTTGCTTGTTAGTGTTTTCACAGTAAAAGTCAATACTATCCATGTGCTTGTGCAAGTCACAAACCTTGTTGTCTTTTAATTTCTTTCAATTCTTTCTTTTATTTATCCACTCCCACATTCCCTATCCATCCTTTTTTTTTTTTTTTTAAATTCATCAGCAAGTATTGCCAGCCCTGCTTCCACAGATGTATGTTAAATTGTCATTTCTGTGTGTCCACAGACAATATCATATAGCCAGGCCATCATCATCTCTTATCTGCACTAATGCAGAACCCCCTTAGCTGATATCTTTGCTTCCATTTCTTGACCCACTACAGTCTATTCTCCATAGAGTAGTGAGAATAATTTTTAAGACATTTTCCCATGCTCGTTTCTCACTTGAAACCCTTGATGTGTTCCTATTACACACAGAATAAAATCTAAACATATTTCCAGGGTGTGTTCTCCAAGCTGTTTGAGACTTGGTCCCCATCTACCTTTCTGTATTCATTTCATACACTGCTCTGCCCACTCATGATGCTTGTGTAGGCAGTCTGTCCTTGTTGTTGTTCCTCTCAAATACCAAGCTCATTCACATGGCCTCTGTCCTTATATTTGCCCTCTTTATCTTTCCTAGCAACTTGTCATCCAGATCTTAGGTCAAGACCTGTAAATTATACTTTATTTTCCTCCTTATTTGTTTGTCTCCCCTAACTCAACTGCAAGCTCTGTCAGAACAAGGATTCTGTCTGTCTTGCTTGCCGCTATAACACCAGCATCCGGAATATATTCGGGTCACAGTAGGTACTCAAAAATACTCCTCAAAATACCAGTCCTGTAAAATTCCTCTTCATGAGCTTCCTAGTATCTGAATATAAATGAAAGATTCTGAGATTATACTCCCAAAACTGGACATAATACCTATGAAGGTTTCACACAGAAGCCTTATTTATGATAAATAAATCAGCAACTTAAGGAAGTTTGCCAGTGTAAAAGCAAGCAGTTCTTGTGTTGCTACGTCATAGACATTTTTATTTATTTTTCTTAATGCCACCATTCTGTTTGTCCTTATTCATCAAGTCCTGTGGGGATAGGGGTTTAAAAAATGAACAAGGCACAATACATGCCTTTAAAGAATATACTGACCATAATCCAATTATAAGAGATGTAGTAGAGATTTATTGTTGTTGGGCCACAGGGAGGATAAGAATGGCTGCATTGGGAGTATTGGGATTCACTACTGGGATTCACCACTAGATGATCCCTGGGGTAGAATTTTGAAGGATGTCCATTTATCTAATAGAGATAAAGAAGTTACAGATCTATACTCATTGTGTTGCTATCTGGTTAATTTAATAAATTAAGTGGTAATAAACTAGATTACTTCTTGTAATTTTAAACAGTAACAATGGGAAAAAACCTATTGATTTAGTCTGCTTTCAAATCCACTGAAGGTTTAAGAAGTAGATTTCTAGCTTAGGCTGTTTTTTTTAGTTTAAGTTGCCCTTTAGTTTAGGCTGATGTAATACATGGGTTTAGAAAGTCATGTTGTCATCTAAAAGCTAGTGCAGTGGTCAGGGAAGACCCTGATAGAAACTAGAACAGTGGTTCTCATGCTTGGCTACAGTACTATAGCTATATCATAATTGTTTGCAGAGCTTTAAAAAAAAAAAAAATACAGACACCTGGGTCCCATTACAGACCTTCTAAATTGTAACCTCTACTCTTAGTGTTAAGAATCTCTAAAGTAGAAAGATTCCTGGGTATTCATTGTAAAATATTCTCACTGTGGCACAATTGTCTTTCATTTCTAGAATGTGAGAAACGTGCCTGTTTAACTATAAGTATACAAAACATATTCCCAAGCCAAATATCCAGAATTTAAAAGAATTAGCCCTAATGTCTCAGTTTCATTCCCATTACAATAAAAATTGATAGTAACATTTTATTAGCAACCATGTTTGTTAGGTATTCATGCCAGTGCATGTACTCTACAGCTCCCTTTTTCATTGCAAGCTATTAGAATTTTTTTTTTTAACAATACAGAATTCTTTCACTGAATTCTTCTAAGAGAAATTTATTTTTGGATTCTCAACTGAGACTTTAAAATATATAATTTTATTATTATACCTTATAGTACTTCCATTTTCTAAGTTGAGTACATTTTAAGATTGTGATCTTCAGGATAATATAAATTATGTCTCTTTTATTTGGTACTGTTTCTAACAAGGTCATGTGCAGCTTCTAGCAAAGTTGTATTTTTTGAGGTTGGTAGAAAAATGAACTTAGATTTTAATTTTCAGAAAGTCAAATCTATTCAGATTCAAACATAGAATCAATAGATGAACACTATAGTTAATATAAAAATGAATGATCATGGGATGGAGCTAGAAGGGATCATGCTCAGCAAAATAAGTCAGAAAGAAAAAGAAAAATACCGGATGGTCTCACTCATAGCAGGAATTTAGAAAACCTAAATAAGGGACCAGGAAAAAGACTAATTAATACAAAGTAAAAATCAAAATCAACAAGCAACTATAAACCAGAGACACCCTCCAGGGGTAGGGAGGAAGGGGGGAGGGGTGGGAGAGGAAGGAGTAGGGTCAAAATAAGGGGCGGGGGGGGGGTGCAATTGTATGGGGAATATAACCAAAATGAAAATGCATACATTGTGCAAAAATGAAAAATGATGTAAGAATTATATAAAATAAAATATTAAAAAAATGAATGATCATGTTTAGAGAATTAACTCTAAGTGAAAATACAACCTTTTTTTGTTTTATCTAGCCAAACGTCTTAAGTCTAGCACCAGCTTTGCAAATATTCAAGAAAATTCAAACTGAAACCTACTGAATGGCGAGTTTACATCATATCCGGTGTATGAATGGTGGAAGGCACAGCTTGGTCCAAAAGAAGATAAACTGTGATTTGACAAATCAAGTTCTTAAGAAATGGAAGGACTTCAGATTTATTTTTAAATAAGAATTTTCAATTTTTCTTTCCTTTTCTGCCCCCTTTTTTAAGGGTTTGGGTATTTTTAATTTCCAGGCATAGCAGTGTTGTCATTTTTAAAGTGTGTTTGTTATAATAACAAAAGATGTAAAAACATCTTTTGTGTAGGGGTTTTTTTTGGTTTTGTTTTTTTTTTTTTGTTGGCATGTTATTACTATTTGAGACTTCTGGTATTTCTTTATTAATGTAATATCTCAAGTAGCAAAGTTTTTGAAAACCAACACCTAAAAATTCATCAGTTATAGCAAAGACTTTGAAAAAGAAATATACTTGCCAAAAAATAGCAAGTCCAAAGATAAATTATTCACCATTGCAGTATTACTCTTACATGTACAATTAATATGTCATACATTACAAATAACATACTCTCTAGTTTCCTTCAAGTCATTTTTGAAAGCACTAAATAAAAACTTCCCTAATAATTTTTAGAAGTGGTAAGGTACATTTATAAAAAGATTTATGGTAACTGGTTTCTTACTTGACTTTTATAAACAGTAGTTTACACCTTTTTTTGCCTTTATTTCATAAGTAATTTGAAATCACTGGACTGCTTTATTATATTCAGGGCAAGATGGATTCTTTTTGTACCAGGGATTTGCATTGTGAATAAATTATTTGGCAATTTATAATTTATTGCTACTTTAAATCAAACATAGCATTGTCACACTGTATTTAAATTGTGATCTTTTTAATGGAGATTTGCCCTTGGGCTAATGGACATTTTTGTAAAGGAGAGAAAGGAGTAAGGAAAGCTTAAGATTCAGAAAATAGGGGAAATGGATGGGCTGCTCATTATATGATTTTTGAAAGGTTTGTGTCAGGGCCATCAATCAGAAAGAGACTCTAATATAAAAACAATTAGGTTAGGACGATGCTTGTTTTTTCCTAAAAAACATTGAAATCTGATAAAAATGATATGATTGTAATGAAATCAGATGTTTCACTCTCAGCAATTTTTATTTTGGAACACTTATATTAACTTCGTTTCAGAATTGTTGACAATTTTATTCCTCAGGTGTTTAGTGTTGAGAATTTCATTTATTAATTCCTTCTTACTTTCTTGGTGAAAATAGGCTTTATTTTAAACACCGAGAATACGAAGACTGCTGTATATAGAAACAAGAGTTTGGTTAAGCGGTATGAGAATTTGAATCTCTTCATGTACTGTAAAATATTCGATGGAGAGATAGAAAGTGTTTTCATTTTTTTTTTTGTTTACCATATATGCCGAAAGTGAAGGCTCATCTTGGCTATGTAACATATCCAAGAGCTGTACGGTTTTTCAAGTCTGCTGTGATCTATTTAAAATGTGCTGGGATTTGTTCTGCTGTCACACAGTTCATGCTGCTGATACTAATAGCACTATCTTGATTTGAAGCATATGGTTGAGGGCCATTGAAAGCAATCTTTCATTAATGCAAATAGAGCCAGTTTACATGTGCAAAGTTACAGAATGACATCTTTAATTCTGTAAGTAGTGACTCTTTGAGCACCTTTCAATATTATGTATTTCTAAAAACCATTGCTTTTGGATATGGTTGTTAATAAGCACTTTAAAAAAGAAAAGGCAACCATTACTATTTTTCTGGTTGAGTCATTGCTCTTTAGAAGTAGCATCAGCAATAGACTTCAAAAATAAATATTAAGCATTAAAATGTATAAGTATTTCATTTTTTAGTCATGCTGAAAAATTCCTTGTGTAGTTCTCAATTCTGAGACACATAGCATATGTGTGTGCACAAGAACATCTTTAGGGTTTTTCACACTTTGAAATAAAGGAAGTTGCTTATGGAAATTGAGGTGTTATATTTAATTTTTAAGTGCATTAAAAAAAATTCAGATGTAATTTAATCTATTTCAGTTTTTGGGTATTGCGTTTAAATGCTTTCTTTAAAAGCACCATCTATCTTATACTTTTACTGTAAATAAAAATGAACTTTGGATTATTTATTTTTTGTTGGATTTGGGAGGTAGAAATAGCATCAGAGATCTTAAGGAGTAACTAACTAAAATAATGAATAATATGAGAGTTTATTTGGTAAGTGTTACTTCAAATGGGATTTACTAATATTTCTTTTTAACTGCAACGTATCTCTTATAACATGAAATGTTTTCCCAAAATGACACTGTAGTTGGGGTTACATTCCTGACCAAAAATGTGACATCAAATAAATATCAGCAATTAATTGTTAAAGCAAAACATACCAGATAAACTGGTAGAAACTCCTGCTAGTCAAAATCCAACATTTCACCCCAACATTCATGTTCTCTCTCGTTTTTCTCCTATTGACTTGGAGAATTAATAGCTGTGGTGTGAGCAAAGGGCTAGCATACAGAGAGGATGAAAGAACAGGTAAAATTTCCAGAATGAATCCTCTTTCCCCTCCTACCTCCAGCCTGTGATTCCTGAATTTTTATGTAGAAGGGACCTGGAGGTGGTAATCTGTATGGAAAAGGGGAGTTGGGTTCATTTGTCTTGAAATTGTATGTGTATAGCAAAAATCACTGTATTACTAGATTGTTTATTTACTTGGGGAAGCTTTTGGGAAATACAGGATATTATGAAAGGGTTAAAGCTGTTTGACATTACACCACTTAGCACACTTAGCCCATCACCCACTCAGGACTTACTTGTTGCTCCAACCTAATATCTCAAATAGGAACAGCATGAAGTGATTGCTTAGCTGCTTTGACTCCCATCTGTGTTTATGTCCTCTGCATCAGGAGATTGAATCTTTTTTCACTACTTACCCGGTCTCCTAATATTACAACAAATGGAATCTCTCATATTTTGGTTATAGCCACTAAGTCTACACCCCTTGTTCTATGTCTTTGAAACACCAGGATGGGTGCATGGATGGGCACTAAGAGTGATTTAGAGAATGCAGTGTCTGTCTTGGGCAGGGTATGGAACACCCTTTTGGGGGCTGGAGTTGTTGACTATGGACGGTCTGATTTCAAGCACATATCCCCATTGCTTTTGGCGCTCAAGTCCAACCCACCTAAGCCTTATGATTGACTGATTCCCAGGGTGCCACCATTTATCCTCTTAGTCCTACTTAGCTTCAGCAAGACCAAAAATTCTGGTGGCTTGATAAAGTTGTGGTGAAGTTTAAGTCTTCCAATCCAAAAAAGTCACTTCTTTGCCTTCTGACTTGCAAAGTTTCTGATGACAAATTTTGTATATTAATGAAAGCAATAATGGCACAAAAGTCAAGAGGGGAATTCTTGGAGTTAAAAGAGATACAGTGTTTTAAGTCTGTTTTCATTGGAAAGGTTATTTCTTCAGGAAGTAGAATTGAGAGTCAAGTAGGTACACACTGTTAAGAGATTTTTTTTGTTTTTAAGTTGGGTGGAAGGCACATTCTGACTCAGATACAATTCCATTGCTTTCAGATATCTTGCTTTTCTTCTGCTCTTGTCCCTTTCTATTTCTTAAGAAAGCTGCTTGATATAAAGTACAAAACAAGTACTTTAGAATCAGAACCGGGTTTACATTCCTGTTTTTCCCTCATTTGGATAAGCAGTTTACTTCTCTGAACCCTCACTTCCACACCTGTGAAATGGGAGGTGGTAACACTGGCTTCACAAGATTATTGTGCAAATTAAATGAGATCGAATATTTAAAGAATCCGCAGTGCAGTGCCCAATACCTATTATTTCATACTGCTCAATCAGTACTAGTCTTTTTCCTGTGGACTATACAAATTACACTGCGCAGTTTGGTACTTGATTATACACCCTCTCACATCGTTTGCTAGGTTCCTTGTGTTTGTGATTATTATCCCTGCCCCCTTGATTAGATTGGAATCTTCTCCAGTTCTGGGACTATTTCTCCTTTTCCACTTGTCTCCCTAGTTCAATGATTGGTTTTTGAAGTCAGAGTAATACCTGAGAAAAGCATGTGTATACCTGAGGAAAGCATCTGAGGTTACAAAATACATTCCTGAACCACACCACATTGTATTGGAAGGTGTCTTTGGAACAGGTCCACACAAAGGACGTTTGAGACCTTGAAGAAAGGCCCTTCATCTGCCCATGAAAGGCTTGAAAGTGAAAACATAGCTAATGGAAAGAGAGAAATGCTATCTTATCATTCAGGAACCTTCTAGGATAAGCACTGAAGATTCCAGGCTGGAGCCAGTGGGGGGTATCATGAATTGCTGCCCTTAAAACTAGCATCTTAAATCATACATAATGCCTTTTCTGGGCAAGAGTCCCACCTGTTTAATCGCTGCTAAATGAGTGTGTATTAGATCTGACTGTTGAAAAATACCAAGATTGGACAGTTAAAAAAAAAAAAATCAACATGATGCCCATAACTGGTTTAATCTATCTTTCAATAATCCCACATATTACCTACTTATTTGCTGTAATGAACATGCCATTCAGTTAAAATAAGATTAACTGCTTAAACCGTAGCTTTACAGGCAGAGAACTTTAATGCTGCTTTGTGTTTCATTGTAAGGTTCAGCAGTTAAATGATACCGTGTTGTCATTTTTTTCTTTGTAATCACGTAGGATTAGCACTCCCCAGCCGATTCTGCTGATGGAACATTTGAAGCAGTCAATTTATACGTCTAGGTTACAACCTGGCAGCAATAACAACCTTCAGATTCAAACCTGTTACCCTCATCAGCTCTCAAATTGCACTGTTCTTTGTGAAGCCCCTCTCTGTTCTAAAGATAATGGAAATCTGGCCTGCTATGCAGTCTATGGGAGAAAAATTGGAAAGGGGCTTGGGCACACATCTGGAAAACAGTGCTGTGATGCCTCAGTTGGGATCAGAGTTCAGAAAATAAATTCAAGTTCCCTCCAAGTGAGTGAACATTTGCCTGTTAAGGTCAAATCCCACTTTAATGAAGCTTTCTAGATTATTCCAGCCTCACTCATCTCTTTTCTTTGAATTGTAATTGGAATTATTGTTCTCCCTATATTATTTAAAACTGATTATTTGTTGATTTATATGGCTCATATTGTTCTATAAGATGGGCTAATGCTGTCTCTTCAGCTAGCTTGCAAGATCTCTGAAGCCAGGGTCTAACATCTACATGGGTCCTGTGCCCTTAAAAAGGATCCAATAACTGCTCCTTGATGGAAGGAAATACCTCTGTGATGTGAGCCATTAAGAATCTGCCTGTATAGTCTGGAGTGGGGACTCTGAGCCACAGCTGAGCCTACTAGGAGCCCTGATGTTGGCGGTGTCCTCTTTTGTGGAGCATATATCCTCCTTTTGTGGTTCGTCAAAGACAGAGAGACAAGAGAATGACAACAGGTCTGTCCATCCTTTCATTGATTTAGTCACTCAAAACTATTAAGCATCTTCTGTATGCCAAAACTTGCTTCTCAGAATCCTTGAGAACAGAAAAACTCCTCCATGACCATTTTGGCAGAAATGGGGAGAAACAGTTTGAAAGTGCTAGAAGAAAACACCTTTCCTCTCACACACTACCCTTCAATCCCAAATTTTAAGCAGGAGCACACTTCTTTAGAGCTTCCTTTCCCCATGTGTTTACTCACCACTTCTCATTTTGACCTTTCCTCCTACTTAACTGCTGTGATGGAAGGGGCTGCTCCTCCCCTGCCTCCTGTGATAATAGCAGGCTATTGAATTCTCCTGTGTGAAACTGGTTTGCTCAGGTCTCTGCTGGACAGGCCACTCTTGCTAGGCTGGACAGGTTCCAGGTATGTTCCTTTAGATAGGATTTAGTGTGGGTCAGGGTTAATCAGTGGGTGGAGGAGGTTGAGGAGGAAAGAGGGAGATTAGGTTGGCTCTGCCCTCTTTAAGAAATTAGATGAATTATTTAATGAATTACAAGTAAGGAGACTTGCCTTGGATCAATCCCTGCCTTGAGGGCAATGCTGATGTCTATTTATTGGGCATGTTTTGACTCTCCAGGAAGAAGTCAGAGCCTCAGTTGCTCATAAGATGATCTGAGGTTGGTTTGGGGGTGTTAGATTAGCCCAGAGAGGAGAAGCACCCGTCAGCACAGAAGTGAACAGGTGATGGTCAAACAAGGAGCTGGTTCAGTAAGACGTAGTTCTCACTTGGGCCTAGTGTAGTCATTTATTTTTTTAAAAGCCATGAATATCATACTGGTATGAACCAAAAATATGTTTCAAACGGCACTAAATACCTCTTAAATGGCAAGTAATGATGATCCAGGGCCTGTTCCACTAGGATCAGTTTTGTTTATCTCATATTGCTCAAGAATTTTCTGTTAAAAGGAAGTAAGAGAGGTGCAGGGAATTTGTGAGAAAATATTTTGGGTGAAATTGAAGGACAAATAAGTTGAAAATCTACTGTCTTTAGACTTCTTAAGAAGGGAAAATTCTGAACTTACAGCTTCCCAGGAATATTTTACATTCATTAACTATGAAAAATTGTTTATTGTGAAGAAAAGGAAAAGCTAAGTTCTGATCATACAAGCTTCTGGGGATCATAAGTGATTAAGTGTCACTGCCGACCAAGAGGGCAATCTGAAAAGAACTTCAGCAGCCTGTGCAGTCCAACTTAAGGCTTTTATTAGCAGATATTACCACCTGTGGGGCCACTAGAAAATCAAATCATGTCCTTCAGCAAGTATTAATGCTACTTTTAAGAATGACAAAAATAACAAGTCATTAAACTTTTCCAACACATGGTGATGAAATCACATTACAGCTCTGTTTTTGTATAGTTAAGTCTTATTTAAAATTTTAAAAAGCTATGTATTTGTGAATTATTTCTCTAACTTTGTGTTTTACCAAGAAGATTGGTTATAATTTTCTGTTTGGGCACTAAAGGATTATTTTATATATTAAAAAAAGGAGTAATGCCAGTTCTGACTTCTATAGCAAAAAAGCAAAACTTAGGGGAAAAATGTATTCCTTTCTTATTGAAAATAATTTCAGTCTTTAAATATTCATCTTAGGTTTTGCCATGCCATAT